GCTGCCCTCAGCCCATCAGCGCTAACGCTTTTACCGCTATACGGCTAGAGACCTGCGGCGAGTGATCCTGCCGGATAGCGCCGCGGGATGGCCATGCTAGGTCGCCGGGGGCAACTGGAATCCGCACGTCGGTTCGCCTTGATCTTGCCGTACACTCCTTTAAAGAAGTCGAACATGATTTTGGAGCAGAAACTTATCGCGCTAGTATGACGTCATAATAAAGTGGTTCTGCACGTAATGAGAGACTTTGCCAACAGCCCCGGCGACCTCCCTCAATACAAAGTGTGCGTGGTCCAACAGAAATGTTCCCGCAGCCGATAATCCCACACACCCCAACATTAAACGATTATAAATAGGATGTTATTCCCAGCAAAATAGAACGGAAAGTGAATGTAGTATATTCCCTCATAAGGGAACAACTAAGTAAAATTTTGAGCAGTGTTCTCATCTTCCTACCAACTGCAACCAGCGTTCAATCGGGATTAAAACAGTTAGTCTTCAAAAGATTACTGCAATCATTGCATTTTTTAAAATCAGGTTACCACTACTCGGTTTTGCACTTGACTGATCGGAATCGACTCAGATACGTCTTTCATAATTCGCAACTTTTCATTAACGTACTTTGCATAAATATTGATCAAACTCAAAAACAGTATTGAAATGCCCTTTACACAGCAGCATTATGTTTAAAAGCCTTCACGTGGTTCGCACGAGAAATCCGTTACTATTCCACTCCTACTCAATGCACGTATCTGGCAACATATACTTCCCATTAAAAGGGTCGGAAGTGGACATAGGCAGTGGTGCTTCTTTCCACAGAAGCGGTTCTCTGATCAAACCCTGCATCTTTCATCGTCAAAAACCCCTCCCCCAGGCCCTCCATCCCGGGCCGGCAAATTGTAACTGAAGTTGTCTGGATGAATAAAATCACTGTCTTCAAGGGCCCGCAAGTCATTGTTTAATCCACTCAGAATGCCACCACAATTCTGAACGGAGGTAGAAAGCGCGGCGCGTATCAAAAAGCGACTGTGCAGCGCCTAATGCCTTATTTTTTACCCCTTCCATTAGACACTCAGCTTTGGAGACCCACAGGAAAATGAATGACCGAATAAAAGTTTTCTTCATTCAACACGACCCTCGTCCACTGACCATATACCTTTTCATCTTTTTCTTTGCCCCATCCTTGACCCCACATTGAATGCACCGAATTCACCGTCACCTCTAGCTCGACGGTTCTTAAGCATGTCCCATAAACAATTCCTTCAACCTTTAGCCTGACATTTCTGCACTAACTGGTCACAAAGCGATAAGCACGTGGAATGAACACCTTAACAGGATGATAGCATTTTGAAGAAAACCGTGCAGAACAGCCGAACATTCCCCAAATCTCGCGTCCTCCCATTACACATATAATTTGAAACGCAAAAGAGGTATATAGCATACCATTATTGGTTCAGTCGTTGTAGTGATCGTCTCTACAGCAACATCGATCTCAACGTTCACAATAATCAAGTCTCTCGGTAGTATTTGTGGGAATAGAATGTCTCTTTTGATATACGAGACATAATCGGAATGTGAGGGGTTCGGATGAATACGCATCTGAAAAATTCTTTTGAAAGTAGCAGAAAGCCTATTGAGTTCGGTATAAAATAAAGCGAAAGGTCTGCCTTTCAACAAAAAAAATGTAATGAGAACATCACAAATACTCGAAGAGGCACTCACGTCAATCTCCTTAAGCTCCGCTGTCCTAAGCATGAACCTCGATTTGAAGCCGATCTTCGTTGATTTAGCATTGCTATTCACCTGCAGAAACAACAATACTAACGACACCTGGTGCTGGCGGAAGGTGATAATTACTAACGACACCTGGGTGCGGGCGGAAGGTGCACCAAAAGGCAGTCAAAAATTGTTAAGATTTCGACTATACTTCAAAGTGATCAAAGCTGTTATGCAGATAGTGATCTAGGCGGAACTGGGTAACATTCAAGAACGTTCCGAAACAAAATCATTACTCTGAGGGCGACGGATTTGTCGACAAGTCGAGAAAAGGCAAGTCAAAACTGTGATAAAAGGACTGTTGTACAGAGAAGCATCGACTTCTACACGATACTGTCACAGGAACACCTTCACCCAGAGGATCAATGAAGCCCGCCATTATAACTATTACTACACTACTCATACAAGACATGCACTTTCTGCTCAGAATAAAGAAGAAAACGCAATAAAATGAACTCACGACACGATTCAAACACAAAAACACAAAGTCTTTGTTGTTTTCGCCGTTGCCCTTTGGATAAATTTTGATCGACCACGTCAACGTCTCATCTCCTCTCGATAAATACACAAAGTTCTCCAAGTATTCTTGATAGCAATGAGAGAAATTCTTCACTGTCCAGCTATGATTCACTTTCTGAAAAAATTCAGCGTGAATCGTATTAAAGTTAACGCTAGAGTTGTGAAGATATTAACCCATTCAACTGAACAAAAAACCCATTTCAGTTGTTCTGCCCTATTAAATTTTTTGCTTATTGTGTTCGTACGCCCATACTGTACTCTTCGGTTAATGATAAAAAAAACAGCACATTTGCTATGGACCTTCAATTGGAAGCACGGCCTACGAGGCAACTCTACCGTTCTCAATCCCCCCAAATCTCTTAAGTTAAAAATCCCTCCTTTTAACTAGCCAAAACAGTCTTCAAGTACTCCCAACTTCATCCCATCACCAAACATCGCGAAATTTATCCACCAGTGAGAATGGAACTGATGGGGTAATATTTCAAAAGAGGGGGGTGTTATCTGTAAGGTAAGCCTGGTGTTTCAAAATAAAAATTTCCAATCAAAGGTCACCCTTGAAAAATCATTGTGCTAACAGCAGCCTACGGTTGATGAAGGGTATACTGGAAGACTCTCCAAGATATCAACGCACGCTCTATATTGACAGCCATTTCACGAAAGAGAAGAGGGGTAGGTTAGAGCACCAGAGCAGAAATATGCTTTGCCGAGCAATCGCTTCTGAGACGTATTTATAGGGGACGTCTTTTATGCAAAGAACCGAGAGGCATGTCAACATAAAAGCCTATGTTAACAGTACAGTAATCACAAAAATCCTGAAAACTATCTTAGTTTTTATGCAGATGGATTTCTCTCGCTGAAGATTACGTGTGAGGACGTGAAAAATCAAACCCCTCAATCGAGTCAATATTCATGAGCAACAATCTGTTATTAAATTCACTTTAGCAATATTTAGGACTAGCTTGAAAGGACGGAA